TTCTCTGTTCTGTTTCACTAGACAAGCATTTACTGTGGTGTACAACTCATTGAGCTAAGTTCTGGGTGTAGAAAGATAAATAAAGCACTGTTTCTTCGACTTCAGAAGCTCACAGACCAGCTGGGCAGACAGATATGTAAATAAGAAATTACCATACAATGTCATAAAATGCAGAGCTCTGGGAGCACAAAGGAGGCTCTCTCGGGGAGGAGGCATCTAACATTGTTCCGGAAGGTTGGGGAGGAGTCAAAGAGAAAACCACAGCTGAGTCTGGAAGGATTAGCAGAACTTTCTAGGCAGAGACGGAGGGGGATGGCATTTCAGGCAAAGGAAACACCATGTGAAGGCAGAGGCAGTAATAGAGCCCCAAATTGGCAGAACAATGAGTAGATGGGTATAGTTTGAATGTATGTGTGTTGAATGTTTGGGCTTTGAGTGCACAGGGAGTAACAGGAGATAAAGCCGCAGGGAGAGAGTCAGGGACTGAAGGTCCTTACATAGAGTGCCAAGAATTTTTGACTTCATCTTGTAGACAGCAGGGAGCCACTGGATTGTTTTAGGCAAGGGAGTTACAGTCTGACTTCTCTTTCAGAACAATCACATTGGCAACAGGGAGGAAGATAGATTGGGAGGGAATGATACAAATTTGGAAGCGAAAAAGGTCTAAATAAGCCAAGGGGATGGGGGTGGAGGGAAGATAATGTGTTCCCTTTAAACCTATTACATTAGGAATACCCAAAGAATAATCAGGTTAAAAGGTTCAGTAGGAAGCTGGAAATATGAGTCTGATGCTCAGCAGAGAGATCTGGATTTAGGAGGATTCATAAGTAAGCAGTGACTGAAGCCATGGGAGAGAATGATATTACTTTGGGAGAGCATGCAGAATGAGGAGGAAAAGGTCCAAAGGCTGAATTCCAGGAAATATCAATATTTGAAGTCAGGAGGAGGAAAGATAGTAAAAGGATGGCTGGGTTGCGAGGAGCTGAGGAGTAAAGGATGGTGGTGAGGAATCTACTCTTTTAAGAAGGTTGCATGATAAAGAAAGGAAAGAAAGGGCTGAAGCAAAAGGAAACTGGAGGGAGGTATTTTATTTTGTTACCTCTGCTAGATGTAGATGAGAAATGGAGGTGGGAAAGGACAGGACCTAACGCACACCTGGAGGGATTAGTCCTAGGCAAGGGAGGTGGGAGGCATTTATTCTGCCAAGAAAGGAGGAAGGGATTCAGAAAGAGTTTGATTCAGTGGTTTTCAAATTAGAATCACTGAGGCAACTTGAAAAAAAAAAGCCAACATCTGGGCCACACGTTGGAAGTTTCTGGTTTAATTAGTCTGGGATGGGTCCTGGGCATTGGTGTGTTTTCAGAGCTTCCCAGATGATTAAAATCTGCAGTCATGGTGGAAAATCTCACTCAAGGTAGAGGTTTAATTGTAGGTAACTTTTTAGATTGGCGGTGATGGGATGGGATTTGAGGAAGCTCACACTTGATAAAGGTTGGGTGAATAGGGAGTGGTAGAGGTTTGGGACAGGTGAGGAAATTAGAAGGGAAGGAAACTAATACCAACTCAGTGACGTTTATGTGCCATTAACATAGAAATAAATGAGGCTCACTGTTTGTTCTCAAAGAGAGCTGGAGCTTACCGGAGAGAGAGATACACCTCACAATAACCCTGAGTCATCCCAGAGTTCTTAAGCAGTTAAAGTTTTTTTTTGTTATTTGTTTTGTTTCTCATTAAAAGTGAAAAAAAAATCCAGTTGTTTCACAGTGTAGACTGGATCTGGAAATACTTTTCTAAACACTGAGAGTAGCCGTTCTAGGAAAGTGGGTGCTGGGGAAAGAGCTCTAATTATCCTGGAAGATTGAACTGTTCCTAGTTTTATCAGCAGGGCTGCAAGAAGATGGTGATTCTAGCCTGGGATGTGGGTACACCACTGTGGTCAGCTGTACCTGGGAGGTGGCTGAAATTGCTAACCACTCGCATTTAAAAACTTTGATGGCCATCCTGCCATCAAAAAGCTTCCAGGGTGTGAAGCTTTTTATGTTTGAGCAAGATACTAAGGATTCCCCTCTCTCAGCAGCAGTGCTGTAAAAGGGCCCTACTTTTCGTCAGAGTAGAAGACCTAACCTTTGCCACCATGGTCTGGGCCTGACCTCTGGGAACAGCTTCATCTGCAAGGAAAGCAGGCATTTCTCTGTAGCTGGGACCTTCCCTTGGAGAGGGTCCACTGCCGCTTTTTGAGCCCTTTGCATCTTTCCCAAGAGACGCAACCTCCCAGGGCTCCTGAGAGGCCTGTGGTCTGCCTGTTACATCCCTGCTGCCTCAGGCACATGAGCTGTGGAGTTGAAAGAGCTTTTACTGAGGGTTCTAGCTTTTGTCTAGGAGCTCCCTTCCTTGAGCAGGATTCCCCAAAGTACTAGGAATCCCCTAGGCACTGAACAGAGAGGGGACCTTTGATTGGGAATGGACTGGGGCACTATGGGTATGCAGAGGGGGTCCCTTCCATCACCTTATTAGTTCCATTTTATATATAGGTATTGAGGCTTAAAGAAATTAAGAAGCTTGCCCATGTCCTCAAAGCTAGGAGCTGTGCATTCAAAGTTCAATCTGTTCCACTCTGTTGTCCTTCAGGCTCCTGACCTCCCTCTATCACTGCAGTTGGACCCTTTGGGAAAATCTTGGTTGAACGTCATCTCAGTGCCCAGCTCCCTCCTAAAGAGTTAGGCTAGGTCCCCTGGGCCCTAGGGTACTTGGGCCTCCTCTTTGGGTCTCCATTTCCTCACCCTGTGAACTAAGGATGTGTGAAATCCAGATGGGTTCCATCCTAGTGATGAGGGTGGAGGGCAGTCCGGGGAATTGCTGCATGGGACACATTAAATCAGATTTTAATGGTGGACCTCTCCTCTGTAATCCAGTGCTTTTGTTACAGAAATGGAATTGAACGCCGCCAATTTCCCCTTCAGAGAAGAGAAAGGAGAGACGGAGCTTATTCCAATTTGATGCCTGATATCTTCGTTTGTTGACTTCCTGACTCAAGTTTTGAGCTTTAGGTGTGGGCCAGTCTACAGAATGATTTGCAATTCTGGCATCAGAAGCTGTGTTTCTTATTCTTTGGACCCTTTTGAGGCCTGTGAAACAGGGTAGCATCACGAGAACACAGTTCACACTGAACCTGGGGGATAGTCAGCCAGGGCCCTGGCAGCTAGGGCAGCCCCGACACTCTGTCAAATGACACACTTGCTGCCCAGTCTGGGGGTGTGCTCTGGGCAGGGCTGGGAACACCCTAAGCTAGCCCTACCTCTCTTTACCGCTCCCCAGCTCTCTTGCCACTCATCCCTCATACACCTGGTTGTCATGGTCACTGTGGGACCCCCCAGTGCAGCCTAGCACATGACAGGCACCAAGCAATTGAGTCGGTGCATGCATGCAGGGACTTGGGTACCTGAAATGATGATTCTGCACATTTCATGCAGTCTTGGTGCTGAGTCACTTGCTGACCCACAGTGTGGGAACCCGGAGTGAGGAGAGGCAAGGATTTGGGATAAGGAGAAGGAAAGTGTTTCTAAAGGTTCTCCATCTTTGAATGGTCACAATGCAGATGAAGATGGCTCTGTCCTCATCTTTGGGGAGGTTAGAATGGATGACCAAAAGGGATGAGATTAGGTCTCAGAAAAAAATTTCATCAGGGAGGAGCAAAAATCCCCAAACGAGTGAGGAACAGAGGCTGGAAGTCTCCTTCCTTGGGACCTAATCACAGGGTTGGGTGAGAAGTGATCAGGATTGGAAGCTGGAGGATGTTGAGATGTTGAGAGGGCCCTACCCCCCGCCTGGGGAAAAGTGTGTGAAGGTGCTTTTGAAGTACTTATTACTATTCTAGGTAAGTGCCAGGTTGCACAGCAATAATACTAATGATAATATAATAATACTCTTGCTTTCACTCACTCCAAGGGGAACATGGACTTCCCACAGCCTAGACTTCTATGGTGGGGGTCACTCTTGGTGGGTTCAGTCTATTGCCCCACTTCATCAACCCCAACTGGTTTCTTGGAGTACTTTAAGGCAGAAATGCCCCCATTATGGCGAATATTTTGTGATACCCTATAATCCCCGTGTAGTACCCTCAACTCCAAGGTATCTGAAACCTCTGGGGCCGAGAGCCCTGCCTACTTGGGGTTAGAGACCCGACAGGCCAACGCATTTTAACTCCGGGAGGTTTCCTGGGAGAAGGGCCCCTCTGTTCCGCCATCCAAACTCCTTGGCGCCTTCAGCGTCTCCCCCCTCCCCCGCTCCCCTAGGGCAGGGTTCCCTTTGTAATTAATCTAAACGCTCAAACCAGAGGGGAGGAAAAAAGTGTTAATGAGGGAGCGTCTCAGACTGACTGGGCGGTCGCCGCTCGCAGCTAGAACCGAGTAATTAAATTATTTTTGGAAGCAGGGGGATGTGGTGGTGTTGGCGTCAGGGAAATCCCCGTATGCATGGGAAGAGGGGAGTGTCTCTCGCCACTAATTAAAATCAGGGACGACTCTCCCTTCTCGCAGCCCTAGGGGGGAAAAATCAATTTTTCCACGTCCCAGATTCCATTGGATTTCGTGTAGATGGGTATGTGGCCCAGAAGAATTGAACACGGCCGTCCCCGGGGGTCTGGGGCCACGGTCTCCGACAGGGGGTCGAGGAAAACAGTCCCCGGAGGGGCTGCAGGCTGGGCCAAGGCCAGGAATCGAGGCATCCCTTGGCCACCACTTGGCTCCGGGGTCGCAGCACCGCCGCTGATTCCCAGGATCGGGGAGGGCCGCCGGCCATCTGGAATTGAAAGGCTAGGGGAGCGGCGACTCCGGGAACAGCCGGGCCGCAGACAATGGACGCGGCGGCGGGAGGCGCGGCGAGTGCGGGAACAGCCGGGAGGTGGCACCCGGGAGCGCGCGCTCCCCCGCCCCCTGCACCCCCTCCGCTCTCGTCCCCTCCCCCTGAGCCCCCTCCCCCCTCCGCCGCCGGCTCCTGATCTGATTCCTGATCCCTGATTCCTTGATCCTTGGTCCCGCCATGGGAGCCTGAGCGCCCCCCATTCCCCCCGGCCCCCTGCCCCCGGGGCCTTGAGGGGGAAGAGGCAGCGGTCTGGGACGGAGAGGGGGTGACCAGACTCAGGAGCCCCCCTTAACATCCCCCCATCGTCCGCGCTGCCCGTCCGGGAGCGCGGAGTTCGGAGCGACCCGGAGCGCTGCGGATACAAAGGCGCCGGGCCGAGCGGGGCGCCCGCCGAGCCCACCCGGCAGTTCGCAGCGGCGGGTGAGTGCCGGGCCGAGGGGGCGCGGGCAAAGTTTAAAAAAAAAAAAAAAAAAAAAAAAAAAAAAGAAAGAAAAAAGAAGCCGAAGAGGAGGACAATCATACAAGGGGCCAGGGGGTGCCCAGCCCCCGAGCGAGGGGGGTGGTTTATGGGGGAAGGGGCTCTGGGCCACCCTTCCGGTGTTCGCCCACTGCACAGCAGAGTGACCCCCCAACTTTGGGGAGGGGAAGGGGCGCGTGGGGAGGGGGCGGAGCCCGGGCCTGGAGAGCCGGGGACTTTCCTGGGCCCCGGGCCGGGCAGGGGCCTTAATGATCCCGGGGGAGCCGGTTGAATCCGGAGACTGGGAGTGTGTTGGAGGTGGGGGGAGAGGCAGTGGTAGGATCGGAGTCTGGAGGTTTTGGAAGACGAGGGTGTTTAGGGGTGCATACACACCTTGGGAGTGTGGGGAGGCATGGGGGCAGGTGTGCGTTCAGGGTATGATGTGGAGTCTGGGGAGCTGGCCAAGGAGAGCAGAGGAGGTGTGTGTGCAGCTCTAGGATGGAGCTGGTGGCAGAAGACCCACTTTGTATCCGGGCCCAGGGGGCAGGAGGCCGGCATCCCTCTCCCCACTCATATTTACCTATTTAGGGGGCTGTGGGCTCTGCATTAGTGAGTTTTAAAGGATTGGTGGAGGATCAGTGTGCATGATTCTTTGTTTTTGAGTGTGTATGCCTTGACGTGCTGCATGCTCCTGCAGGTGGGCCCCTGGGTTTGAAGGTATAGTTGTTTTTTGGTGCCTGAGTGTACGTGCACCCAGGAAGCGGCTGACTATGTGTCTGCATGTGTTTGGATATGTATTTATGTGTACATTCTGAGGAAAGGATGTGCATCTATGTGTATGTACTGGGGAGGGTTTATGGGAAAGAGGTGTATAGGTACTGAGGAAGGTGGGTGTGTAAGAGCAGAATGGGACATACCTGGATAGGTGTGTGTGCACCTTTGTGAATGAATCTGTGTTCTCTTGTGTGTAACCTGTGTTGATAGATATAAGTACCAGTCTGTGTGCCTGCCTCAAGTGGTGTGTGTGTTTTTGAGAGTGTTGGGGGAACTACCTTTTGCCTCTGCAGGCAGATTTTCCTGGCAGAGATCCCAAAGGGAGTGTTGTCTGGAGGATTCCGAGGCTTCTGGGATGGCCCTGCCTGGGTTTGAGGGTAGTGCCTTAAGTATCTGAGACCTACGGGTGGGAGTGAGTGGGCCATCTTATGAGGTGCCTATTTTGGGAGGTGGGTTTTTCTAGAAAAGGGTGTATTGTGGGGAATAGGGAAGGGGTTCTTGTAGTCCTAGAGGAATCTGGGAGATTGGAGGACTCAGGGAGAAGAATAAGAGGGACTTCCTCCTTCACCATCATAGGTTGGGTTCTGGTGGGTGAAGAGGCTACATTCTTGGCTTCCTAGCCCAAGTTCAGCCCCCTCAGGCCATAATTCTCTTGGAAAGCTGTCTTGGAGTTTGCTGCTTCAGAGCCTGCTAACTCTGCTCTGCCACCAGGATCCTACAGTTCCCAGGGGCTCTTGGGATTTTGGTATGGGATGGAGGCAAGAGGAAGGAGCATGCCTGGAGGGATGAGATCTGGTGAGGAACAACTTGGGTTCCTTGCCCATGGGGCTGAGAAGGTCACATGGGAGTTCTGGGGAGGCCAGTGGAGGGTGTTTCTCCAGGAGTTTCTGGAAGTGTATCTGTGTGATTTATCACAGAGTTTCCCTTTTACCGGGTAAGAAGCATGTTTGGGATGAAGCTGTGGTCTGGGGCCAGATCTGAGGGTGAGGATTAGGGGATGAGCTTGCAAGAGGGCAAATGTCTGTGTGTTGGGGAAGGGGCAGGCACCCATCGCAGCTGTACTCATCATCATGATAGTGTGGAAGTGGATCTATCTCTCCCCAGAGAAGCAGCACCCGCCTCCTTTCCCTCTCCTCTCTCTTGTCCTTTCTCTTTTGGGGTGAAGAAAAGGGACCAGCCATCTTCTTTAGGATGCACACGTTGTTCGCCCATTTCACTCTCTCAGCCATTTTCCTCCTGCTGCCAGAAGTTAGATGGAGACACCCAGTTCTTAGAGCTGAGGCTTTGATTGCATATGCCCATTAGGGTCTCTGAGTAATTGGAATTGGAATGTTAGAGTCCCTAATGGGCATGTGCAATGGGAATGTTCCCTCTTTAGTCCTCAGGGCTCCCCACCTTTCCTAAGGCCCTCGGGATAAGAGTAGTGGGAGTTACAAAATGTTGGGACTAGGGATAGGGGCAGAGTAATTAAAGACTAGACAAAAAAAAAAAGCATGATTCTCTGACATCTGTCTGATGGGTTGCGTTGCTAGGGTGAACGAGGCACTTGCCTCTGGGATGTTGTGCTCTGGCTTCTGGGGTACCTTGCTTGCTCTTTGTACTCTCACTATATGAATGACATACTGGTGGGGGTGCTCTTCCAAGGAGGAGGAGCTGTGGTCAGACAATAGGAAGTGCCATCTCTGAAAGTACTTCGGACTGGAACTAGTGGCCACATTGGCCCCTCCTCCCCCATTGTCTTGCTCCTGCCTTCTCTTTCCTCTAATTCTTCGGGGACAGCCCTCTCTGGTGTGACCCCTCTCCCCCCAATCCTTTCAGATCTGAGGAAGGGCCCTCTTCCCTGGCCCTAGAGCAGGACAGACTTTTATCTGCTCATCTGGTTTCCAAGAGGTCATTCTGGTTAAAGGAGGCGTGAACTTGGCTAGCAGAAGCTTTGCAGAGGAAGAGGGAAGAGATCTGGGACTGTCCTCAGCCCCTCTGAGTTTTAGGGCCTCCACTCTTCTCCTTTGCTTATTCCTCCCTCAACAGCTCCCCAACCTGTGAGGCCCAAATGGAAGAGTCCGTCAGAGTTGGTTAGAATTAATACTTAATTGTGGTGTGACGTTGGGCAAGTTCTTAAACTCCATTCCTCAGCCTCTCAGGTGTCTTAAGACACCATCTTCCAACCCCAGGCTGGGCCTTGCTCAAGGATCTCCGGGTCCCCCCAGCGGCCTCCTTCCCTGGGTTTCAGTTTGCTCTTAATGTCTGGTTTTGCCACTTCTTAGTTCTGTGACCTCAGAGAAAATAGATAACTTTTTGAAGCCTCACCTGTAAAATGGAGTTAATTATAGGCTCTACCTCTTTGGTTTATGAGGATTAAATGAAGTAATATATAGAGAGAGCACTTCACACGGTGCTGGGCACATAGAGAGCATTCAGTAAGTGGTAGCTGGTGTGGTTTGGGTTCTGATTGGTGTTGTTACAGGAGAGAATTCTGGGTTGGGGAGAGGAGCTAGGCTTTGGTTCTGCTCTTCTGGCAGATCGTGTTGGGCACTGCCTACTGTCTGCCAGGCACTGTGTGAAGCACAGGGGATGGAGGGGCAAATAAGACGGGATTTCACAGGGGAGACGTGCACAGACACGTTGATTCACTGTAGCCCAGTGTGTGCTATATGGAGGTGTGTTCAGGAGGCCACTGGAGTGTAGAGCAGGAGTGCTTGGCCCTGGGTTGGGTGTCAGGGACGGTACCTGGAGTTGATGTGCTCTTGGCTGGATTCTTTTTTAACTGAAATGAAGTTCACATAACATAAATTAACCATTTTAAAGTGAACAGTGGCATTTAGTACATTTGCAGTGTTGCGCAACCACGGCCTCTACCTAAAAACATTTTGACCACTCCAAAAGGAAACCTGTGCCCATTAAGCCGTTAAGCTCCCCATTCCCCATCCCCCACCCCCTGGCAACCACCAATGTGTGTTCTGTCTCTATGGATTTACCTATTCTGGATGTTTCATGGAATTGTACAATGTGTGACCTTTTGTGTCTGGCTTCCTTCACTTAGCATAATGTTTTCAAGGTTCATCCACGTTGTAGTATGTATCAGAACTTCATTGCTTTTCGTGGCTGAATCGTATTCCACTGTGTGGATCAACCTTAGCTGGATTTAAAGGATGAGTTAGGCAGACAGGGAGGGGATGGAGGAGGGCACTGCGGGTAGAGGCTGAGCGTGAGAGAGAAGGATCAAGGGGCGTTGGTGAACCACATGCAGCTAGGTATTATTGGATATTGAAGGATAAAGTGGAGATTTGGCCTCAGTTTCCCTGCCTATAAAACGAAGTCCTATGTAGTTGATGGGGATGGAGGTATTAGGGAGAGGAGAGGCTGGGGTATTATTGCCCTTTCTCAGGATCTGGGTAGGGGGATAGGACTTTTTTTTTTTTTTTTTGAGGAAGATTGGCCCTGTGCTAACATCTATTGCCAATCTTCCTCTTTTTCTTTTTCCTCCCCAAAGCCCCAGTACATAGTTGTGTATCATAGTTGTAGAGTTGTAGCTCTTCTATATGGGATGCTGCCTCAGCATGGCTTGAAGAGTGGTGAGTAGGTCCCCGCCCAGGATCTGAACTGACGGACCCTGGGCCCAAGCGGAGTGCGCGAACTTAACTGCTACACCACCGTGCCGGCCCCCTGGGATAGGACTTTTTTAAAACTGCTCTTTCCTGGGCACCTCCCTCTCACATGCATTTTTCTCATCCCTGTGTGTACTCATCTTCCTGTTTTACTGGGCATCAACTTCCCCTCTCTCTGAATTGACCTGAAATTTCCCCTCTCACCCTCTCTAGGTGGGTAGCCTTGTTCATAGGGAGATTTTGGTAGCAGAGGTGAAGAAAGGGCCTGGGAGTAAATCCTACTCACGCCCGTCCCCCAGCAGTCCTCCCTTCTTGAGCCTGCCTCTTGGTGATCTGATGTGGGCAGCCCTCTGTCCCCTTCTCTTGTGATCTGGAGAGAAATGAGGTGGCTCAGGGAGACTCTTTCCATCCCTTTCCTCCACCCTGCTTGCTCCCGAGTGGGAGGCAGAGGCCTTGTACGGTGGAGCCCTTTGGAAATGAGATATTACTGTGCTTGTCTGATGCCCCTGGCGAGGCTGGTAATTACAGACATGACAGCTGGGAACGGGTTTGGGAGAAGCCGGCTTGGAATCAGCAGAGCTGAG